CTCAATTCATATGGCAGTAGATTCAGTAGAAGAAAAAGAGCCTAACTCAATCCATGAAGCTCTAGGAAACATCAAGTGGAAACAAGCAATGGAAGAAGAACATTTAGCACTCATGAAAAACAACACTTGGACTCTTGTTCCATCACAAAAAGGCTACAATGTCGTTGGCAACAGATGGGTTTTCAAACTTAAACAAAATTCAGATGGATCTATCCAAAGGTACAAAGCAAGGCTTGTGGCAAAAGGTTTCCATCAAACTGCTGGGGTCGATTATTTTGAAACTTTCAGTCCAGTTCTTAAATCTGCTTCACTAAGGATTATTCTAACAATTGCTGTAGCTAAAGACTGGAGTATAAGACAAATAGACATCAATAACGCCTTTTTGAATGGAGATCTGGAAGAACCTGTCTTCATGACACAGCCAGAGGGATTTGAAGATCCAAGCAGACCAACTCATGTATGCAAGCTAAATAAGGCTTTATATGGACTCAAACAAGCCCCAAGAGCTTGGTTTGAAAAGCTCAAGGGAACTTTAACTAGCTGGAAATTTACTCAATCTAAGGCAGACTCATCTTTATTTTTCTACAAGTCTGGAAATGATATCATTTTTATCTTGGTATATGTTGATGACATTCTGATTTCAGGGAACAACAACACCATCATTAATGCTCTCATTGCTGATTTGAATCAGAGATTTGCCTTAAAGGACCTGGGAGAATTACACTATTTCTTAGGTATTGAAGCTAAAAGAGATGACTCTGGCATTCACCTTTCTCAAGCAAAATACATCAAAGACCTACTGAAGAGATATGATATGCTACACTTAAAGTCCTGCCCAACACCAAGTGTTGTTGGCAAGACGTTGTCTAAACAAGGAACGGAAGAAATCAAACACAGTGCCCTTTACAGAAGTGCAGTTGGAAGCTTGCAGTACCTAGCACTTACAAGACCAGATTTGGCCTACATTGTGAACAAATTAAGTCAGTTTTTACAATGTCCAATGGCTGAGCACTGGCAAGCGCTTAAACGGGTTTTCAGGTATCTCACTGGGACTCTGGAACATGGCCTGTGGATCAAAAGGAGTGAAAGACTAAACCTTTATGGTTTCACTGATGCGGATTGGGCATCATGCCCGGATGACAGAAAATCCACTGCAGCCTACTGTATCTACTTGGGAGAAACTCTCATTGCCTGGTGCTCAAGAAAACAGAAAGTTGTTGCCAGATCAAGTGCTGAATCAGAATACAGAGCACTGGCCTTGGCAACAGCAGAGATGACCTGGATTACTAACCTTCTTCAAGAAATCAACTTTCCCTTAATCTCTGTTCCAGTTCTTTGGTGCGATAATCTTAGTGCTAAAGCTATAGCCACTAATCCTATCTTTCACACAAGAACCAAACATGTTGAATTAGACGTCCATTTCATCCGAGATAAGATTGCAGAGAAAAGAATTGATGTCCAGTACGTACCTTCAATCGATCAAACAGCTGACATGTTAACCAAAAGTGTAGGACACTCCAGATTTCTTCTTCTGAGAGACAAACTTGGCGTCGTCCTACCTCCGCTGCGTTTGAGAGGGACAGTTAAATAGAACTAATTAACAGAAGAAGCAAGACATGTGGGAGGCACAAGTGCAGTACATTTTATGCAATCTGTGTATATAGATTTTCTTGTAACTGAATACGTCTTATCTGCCTATGCTGTTGCCTTATTCACCAGCTGCCCACTTTCTGTTATATATGTACAGCTGGTATTTTAATCTAGAATAATCTCATTCTAACTGAATACGTCTTTTCTGCCTTTGCTGTTGCCTTA